GATTCACTCCAATCCTCATATATAACTGTGGAAATGAAAAACAATGAGGTACTTTCTTCTCTTGTTTTCCTTTAGTTCAGTCGCTTTCACAGGACCAATTACAATTGAAGACTGTGGTGGCTTCCTTAGGAGTTGCATATATCATTATTATTACCCCAACTCGAGGACTCTGGTAGAGGGACATACCACAGCTACAGTGCACCGCTGACTAAGTGCGTCAAGAACGTTCGTGGAATACTTCAAATGTGTAAGTGTGTTTGTTATACAAATGGCAAAACCCTTTAAATTTTTGGTTTGCTTAAGCAAATATTTAGAATATATTTAGATATTTTAGGATATTCTACCATTTAATGGTTGTTATCTATTTAGATTAATTTTGTCTTTATAATGTATAAACAGGTTTATAATTTATTAATTTGCTTAAACACTTTCTAATATATTCTTTTTTATTCTACCATTTAATGGTTGATATGTAATCTTGTGTTTATAAATTATAAAAAAATTATAATTATAAACTTTTATTTGATCAATAGGATTAATAAATAGGATTAAGCATACTAACACTTACCAAATTATTTATGTATCAGGTATTTCAGAATTTTTTTCCTAAACCTAAACTTTATGAAGGTTTTGACAAGAAAAGCTGCATCTTCAATCTCCTTCTGTGTATAGGTTTTAATTTTTGGCCAAGGAAGCATTTATCTGTGAATGTTTCTTTTCAACATGTTAGATATCGGCTCTTCTCAAACTTTTGAGGGATGACCCTTTGGGCCACATTTCACCTCAATCTCTATTCCTTTCACATGGTCTTTCTTCTTGGGATTTCATTTAGCTATTAAGTTGATTTTGTACTCTCTTTTTTTATGTCACTATATGGTATGGCAATGCTACCAGCAATCGTCCAGAAATTTAGCATGCCACGACAGGGGAAGAGCTGTAGAGGACAAGGCCAAGGCAAAGCCCAGCCATGGCTTCTTTCAGCTCGTGGAAAGCTCAGTTTTTCAGTTTCTAATGATCAGTGGCTCTGGCTAATCTCTTTCTTTCATACCGGCTGTGACTTTGAACGAATCGTTCCTTCTGGTCATGCCTTGATATTAGAGCACACCATATATACATGAACTCACCACGCACGGACACCTCCACAAACACTATTTCATCGCAAATTTTCCCATTGACACCACACCATTGAAACCTGCAGTCCTCCAAAACTGTAGCAAATCCTTTTCTTTTTCTTGGAATCGAGAGACAGTTGACGATCTTTCCGCACCTGCGTGGCGAGCCTAGAGATATTTCAAAGTTTTCTTTTTGTGCGTGTGCCTGTGTTATGACAAGCTGCCAAATTGTTTTTGGCATTCTTTCAAGTGCAGCGTTAAACCATCTCCAAGGAAACGGGATAATAGAAGCAGGATAATAACACCACTTTGCCAATTGTAAATATGGGCTTTAGGCCACGCCTCGATTTCTAGCGCATGGTTTTTCTTCTTGGGAGGCTGGTTCCTTATAGCTGGTGATCAATCGACTCGACTTTTTCGCTCCTCGTGCTTCTTCTTCGTTGGAGTTGAGTTTTAATATCAATTTGGCCAATAGAAATTTAACATGTAATTCTTGCCACGTGGGTGAAGGTCCATCAATTTAAACAGTGTGGATTGCTAGCGAGGGAGGGAGAAGAGAGAATGGTGACATTTAGGGTTTGCGACAAGGATCCGGCACAGGTGAAGCAATCTCCGCCCGGCCGCGGCCATTTCCTGGAGGGATTCAAGGATTTCCAGCAGGAGGGCTGCTACCAGGTGTTGCAAGGCACTAGCGTCGACGCGAGTGCCTTTCATCCACAGAAGAATGGCTTCGTCGCAAGCGCCATCAAAGCTTACAGCTCTCACCACAATCTGGTAATTCGCCCCGACGATGTGTGGCTCGCCATCGCCATCCAGTTGGGATTCTTCGTCAATGGCAATGCCGAGGCGCTGCGATCCATCTTTGTGGATCACGAGGGCAAGAAGGAGCTGGTTGTGTCCCAGGCGGCCGCGCTCCACAGCGCCGACTATGGGCTCCTGGCGAGGGAGATGAGCGTGGAGCTCAAGAAGAATATCAGGGACGGGAAGGTCTGCGACTGGATCTTGCCGAGCTTCTCGACTACAACCAAGAACGATGTGGTGGTGGGCAGTGTGGTTCTCATGGCAACCTTCAAGAGCTACTTCGAATATACGTAAGTTGATTCACCCTCTTGGTTCTAGCTATGGTTTTGCTGTGTGTGTGTGTGTGTGAGTTTTCCCTTCTTTTTTGTTTTCTTTTCCGTTTTTGTCTGCGTGAAAAACGACGTGATAGAGTCTAATCACCTCTCACTGTCATTCTATTGTCCATTCTGCGTACTTGTTTTTGTTTGCGTTGCTGTCAATGGTACGCTATGTGTTCTCCAGGTTTGTCTCTCGCTGTAGTAAAATCTTTGAAGCTAAGAGCTTGTTTCTATCCAGGTTCCAACTTTTGTGCGGGATTCCGTACGTGACTCTCCTGGGAACCACCGAGGATTGGGAAGAAATCGATCGGAGGATCGACGAACTGGACAAGTATGGGAGCGAGTGCCAGAAGTGGCGTGTCATGCTCAAGAAAATCACTGCCCAGTTTGTGGAGAGCAGCAAAGGCAACGTTGACACGGACTTTTGGAACAGGATTTGTCACCACCTGGGAGGAGGATCGGGGCCGACATACATCTCCGGCTGGATATCTTCCTTCTGTGTTTTTGACAGCGATGGAAAGTGGCGTGGCGATCAAAAGAGTTACCGGGATCTCTTCTCCGGGGACAAAGCTGTGGAGCTTGAGTATCCGTTCATCGACGACAGCAGCATTGCTCCCGGCTACCTCACGGTGGATGTCAAGGTGGACGACAACGGGAAAACTTACGAGGCTTTCATGTTTGCTGGACACATGGGATACGAAGCTGTGGAGGATGACAACAAAGGGATTGCTCCAAAAGCTGTCTGGGCCATGACTCTCAAGGACAAGGCCAAGGCAAATCCCAGCCATGATGGCTTCCTTTAGTTCGTAGAAACCTGCAAGCTTTGGGATCATGGTGAGCTGTTACGTTTTTCTCATCCGTAACTCTCCTTTCTCCTTTCTCATCCGTAACCCATCCTTTCTCATCCGCTAATCTCTTTTTCCCTTGTTTGTTTTCTTCTTTTTCCAGCAGGAATCGTTCAAAGCTTGAGTTAGTTGGACGATCATGATGTTGCACGGGGAGAGATGGAAAAATATTGACAATATAGTGTGTTGTGAAGGTGTTGGTGTCTGATGAGGTCATGAATATGTGGTGGCTCTAAATGTGGAGGTTAGATTTCCAATGTAAGAAAATTCAGCCAAAACTGTAGTAGGGAATTCTTCCTACGACAATCTTTGGACAATTGTTGAAAAAATGAGGAACAAAAAAGTAATTCCATATAGTTACCTGTGACACATCTATGGCCAAACAAAAGTAAATAAGGTTTTCAAAATGATGAGATAGTTGGAGAAAGTATCTCCACTATCAGAACAATAGAAACCATTCTAGGCATATTCTAAAATATTTTTTAATCTAACAGCTGGTGACTTCTCCTTTAAATTTTTCTCTAATTCGTTAGTAATAACATTTAATTTTAATATTCTTAGTTATCACTAATATAAGTTATGTTTACCATCTATGAGTGTGAGTGTTAGCAACTTTTAAGGTTTTCGCTTTCTCTCACTCCTTCAATAGATTAACAATTATACATGGACTTTTTGGCCTCTACTTTCTAGTTCCTTGCTTGAGATCTAACACAATCCTTGAAGAGCACCTCCCACACAAATAACTCTTGGATAAAAATCAAAGCAATCTTAGTAAAAGTCATGTAATATTCTTGGCCACCAAAGCCTAGCTTAAAGCTTTTTCCACAAAAGTACTTGCATTTTAATGGAATGATTATTTTAATTTTCAACATTATAATATATGTCATAAATTGCCATGCACTCTATGATATATTTTAATTTCTGAAAAGTTTTCTTTATGTCAAGAGTGCTTTAACATTTTTTATACAAGCCAACATAGTTCATCTGGAGAGCTGGGATCTTACTGGATTAGTTGATTAAAGAATACCACTTTTAAGGATTATATTATAGGGATTTCTTTATATTTAAAATTTATCTAATTTATCAATTAAAATATAAGCTTAATCATTCATATTAGAAAATGTATATATATATAGGAAAATAAAATATATTATTATTGATTACTAACAAATATTATAAACTGAATCTTTATATAAAGCACACCTATAGAAAAAATTATTACTATTACAGAATAATTATTTAATTTTTACTATTTTAATGAAAATCAGTCTTTAACTTAAAAAAGAAAACTCATGAAAAATATGCGTTGAAGCAATATAATTTGAATATAAGTTTAGTCTCATGTTCTCATTCACTGAAATCATACCTCGTCACCTATATCTTCTCACTAAGATCTTGTGCAATATATACAGAATAAGCGATGTAATTCCATTTGATTTAGACAAATGACTTTAAAATAATGCTAATGACAAAGCCGGCCGGAAATTAATGAGAACTGTTTTAAAACTAGTTTTGCCGAGCCAGCCGTGGTGCCGAGATCTACGCCCCAGCACGCCCATTTCCTGGAGGGACTCAAAGATTTCCAGCAGGCAGGTGTTGCAGGACGCCAGCGTGGACGCCAGCGCCTTCCATCCGGAGAGGAATGGCTTCGTGGCGAGCGCGATCAGAGCTTACAGCTTCCACCACAATCTGGTGATCAGGCCAGACGATGTGTGGCGCGCCATCGCTGTCCAGTTTGGATTCTTCGTCAATGGCAATGCCGAGGCGCTGCGATCCATCTTTGTGGATCACGAGGGCAAGAAGGTGCTGGTTGTGACCCAGGCAGCCACGCTCCACAGCGCCGACTATGGTCGCCTATGACTGGAGCTCAAGAAGAATGCCAAGGACGAGAAAGTTTGTGACTGGATCTTGCGGAGCTTCTCGACATGGATTGTGTTCTTTCTTTTGCTTTTGCTATGATAAGAACTTCCAGGTTCAAACTTGAATGCGGGATTCCATACGTGACTCTTCTGGGAACCATAACATTTACCAGTCTTTCATGTTTGCGGGACACATCTGAACCGAAGTTGTGGAGGATGACAACTAAGGGATTTCTCCAAAGAGCAATCCATGACTCTGAAGGACAAGGCCAAGGCAAAGCCCAGCGATGTCTTCTTTTAGCTCGTGGAAACCTAGCTTTTAGCTCATCTCTTTTTCTTCTTTCCTGTGACACGTTCCTTGAGTCAGGCCCGACGACATCGCGAGTTTCAACGGTGTGGTGTGAATTTCCTATGGAAAAATATCGACGAAACAGTGTTTGTGTGTTGGTGTGTCGTTGTAAATGGGACTTTTTTGTGGCCATATCGAGGTTAGATCTTCCATGGAGAAAAATTCAGACAAAGCTGTAGCATGGAATCCTTCCTTTTTCTTAGAATCAAAGACAAACTGACGATATTTCCGCATGAGCACGATGTTGAAGTCTTCTTTGTGTTGTGACAAGGTGCCAACTTTGTTGGCTTTTTCTTTGAACTGTGCTTAGTGCAGCCTTATATCATCTAAGGAAACGCCCCAAGCAACAGGGTACCGCTTTGTCAACTGTAAATATGCTTTTAGGACGCGTCTGGAAGCTGAAGCAGTCCGGGCCAACGTCAGGCCAATTCGTGTTGATTGTTTCTCGCAATTGACCCGATCTCCTCCTTTTTCTCTCAGGGGTGCTTTAAAAGCTAACACCAAGCACACAAAGGGCAGAAAAGAGACACCATCTCCTGGGAGCGACAAATTGAGGGCTTTGGAGCTGGGCTTGGATAGATTGGAAAAAAAGGAAAGGTGGTGGAGGCAAGAAATCCAAGGGAGTATTTCTGTTTGGGATTTTGATCAGGTAGAGAGGATGGGCAGCCGCCATTTTGCATGGCGCTGCTGGTTGCTGCTTTTGTGCTGTTGA